AATCCCAAGCAGGCTCCGCACTGTCAGCACAGAGTCTGATGTGGAGCTCAAACTCACAAAACCATGAGATCATGACCAGAACCAAATCAAGACTTGGACACTTAACCGACTGAGCCACCCAGGCACCCCAAAGAATAACACTTCTAAAAATCAAAACCCACATGCCATGACATAAATGATACAGATCTATCCTCCAAATCGGCACTGACTTGGCTTCAAGACGATTCGAAGACTCTTCCAAACTTTTGAACTTTGATGATCTTAACAACTGACCAACCTCTTAACTGAAATACCCCCTCTTACCTTTATTAATTAAGCTTTTCCTCCCTCAAAGCACTTCAAATCAGTTTCTTTTCTTTTTTAAGTTGATTTATTTGAGAGACAGCATGAGCAGGGGAAGGGCAGAGAGAGGAAGGGAGAATCTCAGGAACCATGAGACCATGACCTGAGTTGAAATGGGAGTCAAATGCTTAACTGACCGAGCCACCCAGGCACCCCAAAAATGAAATACTGTACTCTGAAGTAAACTTAACTAAGGAGGCAAAAGACCTATACGTTTAATGCTATAAAACTACTGCTGAAAGAAATTAAAGCTGATACAAATAAATGGAAAGATATCCCATGATCTCAATTGGAAGACTTAATATTATTAAAGTGTCTATACCACCCAAGTCAATCTACAAATTTAATTCAATCCCTATCAAAATTTCATGGCATCTTTTTTGCAGAAATAGAAAAAAAAAAAACATGTTAAAATTCACAAGGAATCCCAAGGGACTCCAAAGTGCCAAACAATCCTGAAAAAGAAGAACCAAGCTGGAGACCTCACTCACACTTTCTGATTTTAAAATTTATTACAAAGCTACAGTAATCAGGACAGTGTGGTACTGGCATAGAGACAGACATATAGACCAGAGCCCATACAGAGCCCAGAAAGGATCCCACACATACGCAGTTAAATGATCTTTGATAAGAGTGTCAAACCACACAATGAGAAAACCACAGAATCTTTTTAGACAAATGGTGCTGGAAAAACTGGATACTCACATGCAAAAGAATGAACTGAGACCCTTACCTAACACTACATACAAAAATTAACTCGAAATGGATTAAAGACCTTAATTAATACAAGCCCCAAAATTATAAAACTGTAAGAGAAAACACAGAGGAAAAGCTTCATGACACTGGGTCTGCAATGAATTCTTGACTATGACACTAAAAGCAAAAAGAGACAAATGGGACTATACCAAATTTAAAAATGTCTCCATATTAAAGGAAATAACACAGTGAAAAGACAACCTACGGGATGGTAGAAAATAATTACAAATCCTACATCTGACAAAGGGTTAATATCCAGAATATATAAAGAACTCCTACAATTCAACAACAAAAAACAACCCAATTAAAAAATGAGCAGGAGGCCTGAATAAACATTTCTCCAAAGAAGACATACAAATGGGCAACAAGTATATGAAAAGATGCTCAACATCATTAATCATTAGAGATGCAAATCAAAGCTACGATGAGATATCATCTCATATACATTAAGATGGTTACTATGGAGTGCCTGGGTGACTCAGACGGCTAATTACCCAACATCGGCTTAGGTCATGATCTCGCGGTTCATGAGTTTAAGCCCTACAGCTCACAGCCTGGACCTTGCTTCAGAGTCTGTGTTTTCCCCCTTTCTCTACCCCTCCCCTGCTTGCACTCTGTCTCTCTCAAAAAAAATAAAGTAAACATTAAAAAAAAATAAAGATGGCTACTACCAAACAATATTTAAAATATGGATGAATAGGTGATGGTGGTCAAAAGGTACTAATTTCCAGTTATAAAATAAGTCCTGGGAATGTAATGTACAGCACAGTGAATACAATTAATATCATATTGCACATTTTGCAACATAGGCCTCAAATTCACGACCCCAAGATCAAGAGCTGCAGGTTCTACCAACTGAGCCAGCCAGGTACCCCTACTGTACTGTATATCTAAACACTGCTAAGAGAGTAGATCTTAAAAGTTCTTATCACAAGAAAAAAAAAATCTGTAACTATGTGTGGTGATGGCTGTCAGCTAGACTTACTGTGGTGGTCATTTTGCAATATGTATAAATAGCAAATTATTATATTGTACACATTAAACTAATAAAATGTTATAGGTCGCACATCTCAATTTAAATAATAATGATAGTAATAATAATAACAATAAAATAGAGGGGCGCCTGGGTGGTTCAGTCAGTTAAACATCTGACTCTTGATTTCAGGTCATGGTCATGATCTCACAGTTCGTGGGATCTTGTCCTGCATTGGGCTCCATTCTGACAGCAAAGCCTACCTGGGATTCTCTCTCTCTGCCCCTCCCCCACCCACCCTCCTTCTTTTTCTCTCTCTCTTTCAAAAATAAATAAAAGCAGTTAAGAAGGTAAATCTTAGGTTTTTAACCACAATTAAGAAAAAACAAGAGGGACGCCTGCCTGGGTGGCTCAGTTGATTAAGCATCCGATTCTTAATTTCACTCAGGTCATGATCTCAGTTTGTGAGTTCAAGCCCCACATCGGGGCTCTGCGCTGACCTCACAGAGACTGCTTCAGATTCTGTGTCTCCCTCTCTCTCTTCCTCTCCCCCGCTTGCTCTCTCTCTCTCAAAATTAAGTGACTTTTTTTTTAATGTTCATTTTTTGTTTTTGAGAGAAAGACAGTGAGCAGGGGAGGGGCAGAGAGAGAGAGACAGAGGATTCAGAGAAGTGGGCTCTAACATAAAAGCAGTTATTCACAGAAATTCACTGATTTTTTGCTGTCAAGAAATCAAGTACTAAATAGACTTAAATTATTCATATTTAAATAAGCTGTATGATCTCACCTGTAACTCTTGTGATTTACGAGCTTGTTCCTGCTTGATACTGTTAATCATACTTTCTTTCACCTCATCCAAAATAGAATATAAACTATCAAATTCTTCATCTAACTCTGAAAGTATGTTAGAAGAATTTTCCTGTTTAATAAACAAAACAATGATTTTACTGAAGAGCTGTCAAACATTTGAAAATACTTATCAGAGAAGAGATTCACATTATAAACCATCTCAGCCTAACATCATATAAACAACAAAATCTAATACTTGACATAGGCTTTAAAAACAGGTAAATCCTAGAAGATGGTTGCTAATGCGGAGAGCACTATCTCAGTTATGCTATGAGTTAAGCAACTTTTTATGAACTAGCCTATACCCTCTTCATCTTTTAAAGCAATGTTTCCAGAGGACAATGTGAAAGTTTGTTTTAAGATTGCCATCTTTGTCCAGACTTTTGTCAGGTTCCAAGGCAGACCGTAAGCCAGTGGTTCTTTGTCGTGCATCAGAATCATCAATGAAGCATTTTAATGAAATATTCCAGAGATTTTGATTCCGTAACTGAGGAGAAGTTTGAGCATACAGGGATGGGACTAATTTTGTGTAAATCTGAAAATCTTTCAGGTTGTCTAAAACAGTGCATTTACATTAAGATATACAGAACTTAAAAGACCAAGCAATTCCTTATTGGATCCTAAGAGATTTATCAAACATTAAATTTTAGGGCTTGAAGCAACCTCAGAAGTCATCTTCTGACTAGAATTTGTAGTCAAACTCCTAAATTTTAGGAATTAAAATACAGAAAAGTGATTTGCCCAAAGCCACACAAGTAGTTACCAGTGGCAGAATCAACAAAGCATTTCAAGCCTATTAACTTCCCAGAGTTCCTCATCTTCTCATTAAGCAAGACGCTATTTCAACAATAACTTAAAATATCTGTGAAATCTCTAGATAAGCAATATCCACACTTGCAGTAATTATGAGACAGAAGAAATTATCTTAGGCATTTTTCAACTTAGATGAATCATTCCATTAAGAGAATTGGCACCAGTTAAGAGACCTAATATGTAACAATCCACTGCAATATCATAAACCAACTTTTGCTTATAATTTTTATAAAAATAAGTTATCATCTCACTAGAGTCTTATCAAAAGTGGTGTTAATCACTTTACTAATTGATTTACAGTGACAAGAACAAGTTGTGGAAAAAGAAATGTGCAGTCTGGTAGGCAAAAGACCTAAATCTAATCCCACATTAACCACTAAGTAATCAATATTTGAGTATGTACAGTATGGATTATCTGCCCAAACCTGGGACTGTTTCCTTAAGTATTCATTTTTTTCATTAGGCACTTTACTTTTTAGTTTTATGTTTTACTTTCTTCCAGTTCTATAAGCAGACCTCTTACCACCTACATTTTCCTTCTACTATTTATCATAAAAGAAATGTTTAGCATCCCAGTACTCTGAAGAAATATAATTTGCTCTTAACTGGAATTAGAAAAGACAAATCTATAATGGAAAGGGTCAAAAGTAAGCACTATACTATTCCTTAGCAGCTACAATTCCAGAGTTTTCTTTTTTCCTTACTATTTGACCTTTCCATGGAGAATGTAGGAATAGTAAGGAAAGCATTTTTTTATTTATATGCCATTTAAAAACCCTGCTCTCACCTCCTTTAGTTTATAATCTAGAGTTCACGGAGTATATTTATTTATATTGATTTGGCCCAACAATCATTCATTGTGACATATAACAAAACATTTTTTAAAGAGTCATACCTGAACTCCTTTTAGTGTTTGATTTAGTGTATCAATAAAGTTCTGAATTTCATCATTTTTATTTGCCAGAGTTGAAATGATCCTTTGTAGAGCTTCCTACGATTAAGATAAACAAACAAAAACACATAACATGATATTTTAATGAAAGAATTATAAATCATAACAATTCTCTAAACAAACCATATATAAGAGGAGCAATGTAAAACTTCAAATTGTTAAATTTCCAAAGGCCTGTAATTACAAAAGATGAGATATGTATTTATACTGTTTTAAAACCTCTTATTTCTAGTGTACAACTTAATCACTACCACACCTTTCATACTAAAAATGATCAATATTATTTAATATCAATGGTATTATTTTAGGTCGTAGGGCCATGGCCAAGGAATAGAACCAAATCCTTAAATGCTGCAAAAACAAATGGAACTTTTTAATACAATATTAGGATATGAGGAATAAAAGCAAAGAGACAGTAAAATTTTACATTTAATTTATAAAAATAAAAAACATATTTTAGAAATATGAAAGCGATAATAAATTTGCAGCTAAAATTGCAACATTCATTGCAGTGTTTATAGATGTCATAAAACCATAATAAATAAGTAATTTTAGTAACAAATACCTCAGACTTTTTGATAATGCTTCCTACTTAAATAAAACATTTGGTTATTTAATCTTTCATACTCTCTAGATCAGGGCTGTACAATAAAATCTTATGCTATGATGAATATGTCCTATACATGTGCTGTCCCATATAGTACTCAATAGCCATATGAAGCTAATGAGCTCTTGAAATGTAGACAGAACTGAGGAACTAAGTTTATCTTTTTTAACTTTAATTATTTTCACTTTTTATAGCTGCATGTGACAAGTACTGTCACACTGGACAGCACAGGTCTAGGTGTTCAGTAACTCTTCATGGGTAGTAACAGCAAACCCAAACAAGGTACTTGTATTCTCAGTAAAAATAAAATGCAAGTACTTTTACTTCATAATCATTCCAGAAGCACAAGCCTTGTTTCTGTAAGCACCTACAAGTGTAAATATTTTAATAATGCCCTATGAAACTTTGTAATAAAGGTTCTCCTCAAAATATAATCAGATATTGATAAAGGGCTATATATAAAGAGCTCAAGAAATAAACTGATAAAGGGATATTTTATATAAATGTTCATAAAGCATAACAGTGAAAAATTAAAAATAATCACAACAGTTATCACTTAATTCTCACAAGAATCCCTGAAATAAGGAGGTATTATAATCATCCCTGAGGCTGCCTAAGGCTCCCTGCTGTATTCACTTACCTATACTATTACTTCCCATCCTCACGGATGGTGTTATTTTAGTATAATAACACAATGAAGTTATGCTATGAAAGAAGATCAACACCAAGAGTTAGCTTTTTATCCTGTTAGTGTTCCTCCCAGAAATGGGTACATACACCAAGATTTGAATACAAAGACAATCAGCAGAGAGGCAGAATGAAGCCAGGACTTGGAGGAGGGGTGGGGACAGGTGTAGGAATGAGAATGGTAATACAGAGATGTAGAAAAGGAGTGAAGAGGACTTAAGGGTTCCAGTTATTCATCCCAGATAGGTTCCATATATATTTAAAAACAACACAATGGAAGAGTAAAAATGGTTCTGCACAATCACTGGACTGTGTAGAGTAAGCTTCAATTAAGACTGGTCTCTTTCTGGTAAATGGACTGTACCTGCCTCCCCTTTTATCACCCCTAATGGCAGGGCTAAATCCATACTGTACAGATGACAAAATGGAAGTAACTGTTAGTAAGGTAAATATTATGCTCAGTCTGTCTCCAAAGTCCATGCTGTTTACCACTCTAGAACACCGTCTCTCAGTCTAACAAATTTGCCCATCATATGAAATAGCCACACAATAAATTATATATTCTTTTAAAATTTTGGTTCGCTAAAACTCTTCAATGACATATAAAACTGCTAGAATTTCCATAGTAGAGTATTGCTGTTTGAGGTTTATAGCTCTGCCCTCTGCTAAGCATACTCATGAACTTCGAGGTAAAGATTAAGAGTCTTCCAGAAGAGATCTTATCCCATGAAAGGGAGGAGCGAGGATCAATGAATTCAACCCAACAACAAATTTTCATCACCAGGATATATGTGAGTTCAATAAAAACTGAAGGAAATTTCACACAAAAAAACTGTGAAACACTGGTATATATAAAGGCAGACCTAGTTCAGAGCCAAAAAAGAAATCTCCCTAGTACAAAACAGCTTTTCAACTTTTATTTTTTGTCTAAGTATAGTAGTAAAGTCTGTATTTAGGGAATTTTGAAGGAAAAATTCTTGGGAGATAGCTGAAGCATAATGCCCCCAGGTAGGTAACCTCTAAGCTCCAAGGATTTTAATGAGAAGCCTCCCTACCTTTCTAAAGCTCCCTGCTACTTACTGAATATAGTCAAAGCCATCTAAATTGTTCTAATTTTTGTTAAGTTTTCAAGCTAAATCCTTTATACTTTTAAGAGTTAACCAACTACTAAAAGTTAATAGACTCTGTTGTCACAGTGATGTTAGAAGGAAGAATACAGCCTTTACCAACTGTAATATTCACTAGAAATATAGTGAGGGCCAAATAGTAGCCACATCAAAAAAAGTAAAACAGGTGAAATTAATTTTAATATTTTACTTAACCAAACTGATCCAAAATATTATTTCAACATGTAATCAAAATTTAATAATTACCGAATTCCTTTTTTCCTTCCTTTTCGGTACTAGATCTTCAAAATGCGACGTGTACTTTATAGTTACAGCACATCTCAATTCAAATTAGTCACATTTCCAGTGCTCGACAACCATATGGAGCTAGAAGCTACCACACTAGACAACACAGCTTTAGAGGCCTAACCCATCCAAATAGCCCATATATTTCTAAGAGTGGGGATAGGGCAGATCTGCCTAATTTGCAATCAATAATAAAAAAACTTAAAAGCTTTCTGAGTTTTTTTCTTGGAATACTACAATTTCTACATATGCTTACCATACGCCAAATTCTTGAATTATATAATACCCATATGTGAATATAAGCTAAAATGTTACAACCTGTACCAGAATTTCACTATTTCTCAGTTTTTATTTATGTAAATATTACCTTTAGAAATGGAAAAGTAATATTATACTATTACCACTCTCAAAAAAAAATGGGGCATAAGCAGCTCTTTTTTGGGGATCCTTCTAATACCATAACAAGAGTAATACACTCTTCTCTTCTGTAATACTTAAACTGTTCATTGGTGTTGGCTGGAGAAAAACATCCATGGCAATATTGGCATCTGACAAAAACAAAGCTGCACCTGAAGATACCTGACATGTAAGTTATACAAACTCAAAGAATCATCAGGATAATGCCGGGTTTTGTGTATGGTACTGCTCCATACCTCCAGGATAATACCCAGTTAATCTTATGGTAAAGACCAAAAAAAATCTAATGGTAAAGACTATTCCCTTTTAATTTATTAAAAATTCAGCTAATATCAGAAAATGAAAAATGACCTTTCTAAATCTGTATTGGCCCATGAAGTGTTAATAGCAATATTTCTGGAAAGAAATCCTATGATCTGTGTGTTAAAGCTATTCTATATTAATTAGTGGTATTATATATTAATTACCTAAGGCTTTAGAAATATTCTCCCAGAAAGTGGTTGGGAAGGGAGAGTCTTTAAAGGCTGATATAGGGGCGCCTGGGTGGCTCAGTGGGTTAAGTGTCAGGCTTTGGCTCAGGTCATGATCTCACGGTTCATGAGTTCGAGCCCCACATCAGTCTCTCTGCCTGGAGCCTGCTTCAGATTCAGTGTCTCCCCCTCTCTCTTCCCCTCCCCCTGCTTGTACTCTCTCTCTCTCTCTCTCTCAAAAATAAACATTAAAAAATTATTTTTAAAAAGGGCTGATAAAGTACTTCAGGGAAACATCATCTCATTCTTTGAAGAGAGAATGCTTTATGGCTCACATTTTGCACTTCACTGGGAGACTCTAGTAATGAGAGTCTATCACAGAACTCCTAAAAAAGGGCCTACATCCGGAGAAAGACATCTTACCTTACTGCCAAAGTAGCAAAGACTGAAGTCTGAGATTCTCGGGGGCGGGGTGCAACTCCAATCTCTAGATAGGGAGAGCTTTGGAGCCTTTGCTGTAATATACACCACCGAAATGCTATAAGAGTAGACAAGCCATCTGTAGAAGGCTTTGGAGCCTCAGCATTTAAGGTGACCTGTACTTTAAACACTACCAAATGCATTAGTAAACATGGCTGCAGAAGAATCAATCATCCAGATGAATAAAATAACCCAAAGCAACCAATGTGACCTTGGTAATAATCTAATACAGATAAAGTGCTGCCTCTACCCTAAGCTTAGAAGAAAAAAAGAGCAGTAACCTGAAAGTTCTTCAAGGATAGGCTGCTAAAGGGCTCCAGAAGCTCTAAAGCTACCTTTCCTTTAATGTGGAAAGGATGAGCAAATGCAAAAGACTATAATCAAGAACTCACATTTAGTATTCTCCTATAGTGGAAGTTCATCAGGAAGGGCTGAAAAATGAATTATCAAGGGGACCAGGGCTTCGACCATTCTGGTCACCACAATAACAATGACTAACTAGACTAAGGGTGAAGATGGCATGAAGACAGAAAGAACTAAGGAGCTTGGAGCTCAGGAGAACTGGAAAACAAATGACAAGCAACCAAACTATTTAAGATAAGTACTACCACAAATACCAACACTTACAAAAATGAAAGGAATAGGATTACATGAACTGAGTTCTGAAACTTAACCCTAGCTTGTGTATTTGACATGAGGCTAAAGTTTTCTCTAGGTAGCAGGCATCAGAGAAGAGGGGTTATATACAGGGTTAGTGTGTGCCTAATATAAGAGGTATGCAATAGGAGGCTGGCTAAATAGGTACCAAATCCGGTAAAAAAAATTTTAAGTGTTTTCTAAATTTGGCAGGCAACATGCTAGGGCAGAATATCTATGTGTTTTGTATTCAAAAACAGAAAGAGAAAAGAATTAAAAGATACCATAATGCTTTGAATTTTCTACCCCACTTTATAAATCCCTCTAGGG